TTTAGGTTCTGGGCTCCAAAGCAACCAAACGACTGGAACAACGAAGACTGTGTGCACACTCTTGGAGCGAAGCATGGATACACTTGGAATGACGTACCATGCAATAATTGCTTCAACTTTACTTGTTTTACAGGTGAACAATCTCTTCATAATGTGTTATTGATTGTTCATAATTTATTAATTGATTGACAGGTTGATTGATTGCCTGATGTATGGGTATTCGTATTGAGTATTAGCTTTTCCGCGAAAAAAATAAGGTAAACAGCGATGCTGAAAGAAAGCAATAACTGCAACGAATAATTTCCACACAAAGAAAAAGATATGCAAACGGACAAGAACAGGAATTGGTGTCAATTTAGATTACTAATAATATTCGATGTTGTTTTTAACTGTTGCAGACCTGGACGAGTGTAGCACTCACACCCATAACTGTGACGTCAATGCAGATTGCATAAATACCGTGGGCTCATATTCTTGCACATGTAAAGCTGGATATAGCGGAGACGGACAAACTTGCACTGGTAAGAAACAAACAAAGACACCAACTAGCCAAGAAACAAAACAACGAGCACACCTCCTAATAAATGAGGAAACTGACTTAGCTTTCTTCATCAGTTTTAACTATTTGTGACCCGATTGTGTGGATTTTCTTGTATTTCATAAAAATCGTAAAATCTGAGTCGGCGGGTTTACTGACGTCAAAGGAAATATTTTCTCGGACGCGCTATCAATCCTCCAAATTTCATTGTCACATCTTTAATAATCTACGAGTCACAGGGTGAGAGCCTCAAGCCTTCCCGGCAGACGACCAAAGCCTGCTCACTCTGAATAAGATTGACGTAATAGCAATCATCGCATTGGTTAGCTAGCTTTGATTTGAGAAGTCCGTAACAGCTCTCTTTCAACCCTGGACTGAAATCTGAATGTTCACGACAGCCATTAGACCATATAACGGCATTTGTGTTAAAAACCACACCATTCTTTAAAAGTATATTGATATTTTTTAAAGCAGTGCACTCATGAACAATTTAATGTTCTGTACGTAGCAAAAGTATTATTTTCTAGGGAAACTGTTGGGTTGCTTTTGCGTACAAGTGAAACACCTAGCTGTTTATCAAATGGAAGTTCACTATGGGCACTGTCCGTTCGACCAAAAATTCCGGCGTAAATTTCCGAAACTTTCCTGGGACGAATGGAACAAAGGTTTGAATGGAACAGAAATTTCCGGTTGACTGCACTGGAGTGGAAAACGATCAGCCGCACTATTTTTCTCTTAGAATTTTTCAATGACTTCAAGGCTTGAATCGCAAATAAAGAAGCGAACCGAACACTGACGCGTCGACATCGTGACCTTTTATAGACCACAACAACAAGGACCTTACAAAAACCACAACAGCAGCGAAAACGTCGCAAAACAAAGGATTGATGAGTGGTACAATGGCTTTACACACGTTATAAATATTCGTACATTTCTTAGCCAACCTATACAAAACAAACTAGTACACCAGGGGGGCAGAGGACAACCTCCTCCTGAGGTATAACCAAATTTTCGTTAACTTTTTCCTGGAAATTTCCGTTCCATTAGATTTTCGGAAAATCAACAATTTTCGGATTTTCTGGAACCGACCTTCCCCAGGAAATTTCCGTACCGTTTGCTCATGCTTCGAGAATGTCGGAATTTTTGGTCCAATGGAAAGCACCCTATAATTCGGCCGATGGAATAAAATTTTCTGGATTCCCCCGAAAAAAGAACAGCTTCTTGTGGTACTGACTAAAATTTTCGAACATTTCTTACTGGGAATTACCATTACCATTACCATTAGATTTGCTCCTGAAATTTGGGGTGATTTCGACCGAATGGATTAAAATTTCTGAAATTAAACAACTTTTGGATTTTCTGAAACCTTTCCCCGAAAATCTCCGTACTATTTTTCCCTGTTTCGAAAGTTCTGGAATTTTTGTCAAATGCACATTGAAGCTCCCGTGTATATATAATATTATATATTATACCACGCTTCAATCCTAACAACTTGTGTAATTTCCAAACCAAGATATATTTTTAAAAAAATCCATGATTCAATTGTTAAAAGAAAACGCTTTGCGATCTGTTTACGGTAGACAGTTTTAAAGGCGCGCTAGTAATGGCCAATGGTATTAATTCGTTGAAATGTTTCGAACAATGGCCTTGACAGCCATCAATTTTTTTTCTTTTTTTTTCGGTTTTTTTTTTTTTTTCGCACAGTGGTGTGATAGGTTTGTCCATTAAAATATCATGATATTCTCTTTGAAAAATTGTTGAAGCCAACGACATTTCCAGCTTTTATGTGATATTTACTCCTTTAACTTCTTTTTAGACGTAGACGAATGCTCTTCCAACTCTCATAGCTGTGACGTGAATGCTGTCTGTAGTAACACTCGTGGATCTCACACTTGCACATGCAAAGCTGGATATTCTGGAGATGGCAGATCTTGCAGTGGTACGTTGGTTTGTGATAAAGTTGTGACATGTTTTTGTTCTCAGCATAATTAGTATAGGTAGTCAAATGGTTTCGAGTGCAATTTGGAATAAATAAGCACAAGTAACAAATTGCACAAGCCCTATGGGCTCATGCAATTTGTAGTCTTTGGAAAATATACGAGTGCTTATTTATTCCGAATTGCACGAGAAAAATAATTTGATTACTTGTTAATAATATACATGCAAAACTTGAGTCTGGTTCTTTTGTGATCGTGTTTATTTCGTGTCTCGGTTCACTGATCCCACCATAGATTAACATTAGTGGTCGAAAAATGTCACCTTTGATGGACATCCCAACACTTGTAAAAGAGTACAAACCAAAATTATCGTCTCAATCGACAAAGATCAAATTCTGCAAGCATGTATTATTGTGAAACGTTCATAGTCATCCAGTGACTTCTCGTTCTGGTGGTCCGTTACTTTCACGATTGAACTTCGCTCTAGGCCTGTTGTTTTCAACTTCTTTACTAATATACTGTTTTCCTGGCGCTCTGGTTGGAAAAAGTTTTCCATGAGCCTTCCAGGGTCCTTCCTTTGATTACGAAATTCATCATGTCGTTGAGCTTGTTCACTCCCATCGGCTGTCGCTTGTACCAAACTTGCGAAGATGGATTTGGCACACAAGACAGAAAAAGTGGACCGGTTATACGTATTTCGGAAGGTTCTCAGAAAATTGAAACGGGAAATCTCCTCACCTCCAGTTGAAAACATTTCTGGAAGAAAGCTTCTGGGTTAATAATAATTATTAGCCCAGGGCCCAGGGTCGTTCCTTTGATTACGAAATTCATCATGTTCACTCCCATCGGCTGTCGTTTGTACTAAACAGTTGGCACACAAGACAGATAAAGTAGCAGGTTGTATACTTTGGAAGGACTCTTTGAAAATTGTAACGGGACATCGCCTCACATCCAGTTGCAAACATTTTTGGAAGGAAGCTTCTGGGCTTTGCGGATAGTCCGGACAGGTTCACGATGAATTCGAAGTTCTCCGTTTTGTTTTCATCCAGTCCAGAGGAGAAATCTTCGACTGTGGTTTTCCTGGCGACCTTAAAGGCCAAAATACTGGGTCAGGTGCCACAAAAATGTTTGGACGAGAAATTGCGGACTTCCCTTTCCCAGCTTCTTTTATCCCACAGCTTATTTTCCTCGGTTGTTGTCAGACTTCTTGCCTTGTTCGGCCGCCGGCCTTTGCTTTGTCGTCGGAGTAGCCTGGCTTTTCCCTCAAGAACTTGCCTTTAAACTCTCTGTTGCGAATCCGTGATTGAGTAATGTATTTGTACTCTTTCTCTATTAGGTATCGGTCGATAGCAGTAATTATTACACGAATGCTCCAGGTTCGTAATCTTACCCCTCCTTCTTACCTGAACTGTCGCGCAAAACTGCTCGAGGATTTTGTTCAGAGCCTCCGGTTCGTACATTTTAATACTTTCGTCACAGCCTTTTTGAGAAGTACTTTTACCCAGTTATTTGTGCTTTGTGTTTTGTGTGTGTTTTTTTTCCTTTTTCATAGCATTCTCCTTTAACCTCTATATAAATATAATGTCACTTTCCCCTGAGCCGCCCGCCATTTTGTTTTGTTAGGCTTTTACGACTTTCCTGTCAATCAATTTAATTTCAACTTTTCGCACTCAATTTCAACTTTTTGCACTCGATTTCAACTTTTTGCATTCAATTGCAACTTTCTGCACTGTTCGGGATTAATTGACATGTTCTGGGCCAATTAGTGTGTGAGATTTTCGCATGTATTTTATTCATTATATAACTAGGCATGGGTAATCAAATGATGACGAGTGAAGTAAGGAAATAATTCACACCCGATTTGCCAAAATTCTTATGATTTTCTGATCCTTTACGTGAGGAAATTGAAGTGAAATTATTTCTTAATTTCACGTGTATACCATTTGATTAATAATGGTAGTAGGACTGAGTGGAGTGCATTTCTGTGTGAATCATACGAGTGATAAACAAAATCGGATAACCGCAAAGCGAGAGGCCGATTTGTTTCATCACGAGTATCATTACAGATAGAATTAGACGACACTATAACCTGTTACCAATTAATCAAAACGATTACAATTTCCCTAAGATGGAAAAGTTTGTTTTGAAAAATACATGTATATTTTAATAGTCACTTTTAAATATGATAACTATAATTGTGTACTAGATTGTGATTGTAATGAACGTTGTAATTGGTGGATTTGGTTGTGAGGATCAAACTTCTGCAGCCGAAGAAAATTTCAATTTCTCTTTCGAGTCTTCAAGGGCCGATGCAATCTATCTCTCGAGTCTTCTGCCTTTTTACCTTCAATGCGTGGCTTTAAATTAGCCTCCTTAAATATTGCAAGCTTGCCAAAACACATTGACGAGCTGAGAGTTTTGCTCTCCGATAACCCTCTTGATATATTATCTATTAATGAGACGAGGCTTGATGATTCTGTCAGCGACGACGAGGTTTACATTTCCGGTTATGACATCGTTCGCCGCGATCGTGAACATAACGGTAGATTTGGTGGGGGAGTTTGCATCTATGTTCGATCTAATATAAA